CTTTGAGTGAGAGTTAGATTTAATTTGTATTCTTTTCTTTTCTTTTTTTTAATTTTGTCTTTAGAGAGTATCCTATAAATGAAATCATAGAGTATTTAGCTTTTTTAGTCTGGATTCTTTTATTTAGTATAATGCATTAGAAATTTCTCCATTTTGTTGTATATGAGTAATTTGTTACTTTTTATTGTTGAGTAGTAGTCTATATATATGAATGTATTACCGTTTTTTATTTTATTTTATTTTTATTTATTTATTATAAAGATGTGGGGTACAATTCAGGGTTAGGTATACAAGCATTGATCATACAGATTATTACCGTTTTTAAAAATCTATTCAACATTTCAATTGTTTTCAATTTTTGTCAATTACAAATAAATCTTCTATCAACATTATCATAGATGTTGTTTGTGAATATAAGCTTTTTTTCTACTTGGGTAAATACCTACAAGTGGGATTATTGAGTTGTGGGGATATTTACACTTAGCTTGTTAAGAAATTGTCAAACTGTTCTCCAAAGTGGCTGTGTGTTTTTATATTAGCACCAGTAGTATACGAGTTCAAGTTGTTCTACATCTCTGGCTGCACAAGACATCATTAATTTTATTTTTTATGTATTTATTTGATAGATATTATAATAGATGTGTACTGGTATCACACTGAAATTTTGGCCAGACATGATTTATCATGCCTACAATCTCAGCACTATGGGAGGCAGGACAAGGCATATGAGCCTAAGAGTTCAAGCCAGCCTAAGCAACATAGTGAGACAGAAAGAAAAAAACTAGCCAGGAATGGTGGCACATCCTTGTAGTCCTAGCTACTTTGGAGGCTGAGATGAAAGTATCACCTAGACCCAGGAAGTGATATTAGGGTCAAGGCTGTGGTGAGCTGTGAATGTGACACCACACTATAGCCTGAGCAAGAGTGAGACCCCCAACTCAAAGAAGGAAGGAAGGAAGGAAGGAAGGAAGGAAAGAAAGAAAGAAAGAAAGAAGGAAAGAAAGAAAGAAAGAAAGAAGAGAAAAGTCAATATGCATTGCTGTAATGGTTAATGATAATGATCATCTCTCTGTGTGCTTACTTGACATCTGTGTATCTTCTTTTTGAAGCGTGCATTCAAAATTTGTGCCCTAATTTTAGAGTTGTTTTCTTATAATTCAGTTTTGAGAGATCTTTATATATTCTTCATAAAAATTCTTTATTAAATATCTGATTTACATTTATTTTCTTCCAGGCATTTTATTTCATTTATTTTTAATTTATTTTCATGTATTTCTTTTCAATTTATTTTTCATTTATTCCCAGTGTTATGAAGAATGAAAATTTTTCATTTTCATGAAATATGAAGTATATACTTGGGAGTTTTATTAAGGTTTCTTTGGTGCATGACAAAAAATAAATGTTATCTTGGAGAAATGCTTCAGAATAATGAGAAATCTGTGTCTAGATGCTAATTGCCCTTATAGACCTAAAATATATCTAAATAAGTCTCTTCTTCCATATCTCATCACCTCTGGAATGGAGAGAAATGACTCTTTAGGTTAATTTGAGACATTAAATTAAATTAATTGAGACAGAGCTACAGGAAATTTGTAGTTATTTGAGATAGTCATGTAATTCCCAATAGTGGGCAGACTAAGAAGTTCTGGGGCATCCTAGGAGTGATGATGTTGCCTTCACTCCTAATCTGGAAAACCCTCAAGTTATGAATAATAAGTATTACAGGTGTATTGATAAGATGTTAGTGATGCTTGAGACCACCAAAAGTACATTAGTGTCTGTTCCCTCAAGCCCTTTTTATAAAGGGGTGCTCCTCTTCCCTCAGCTGCCTCCCCTTATAAGCTCTCAGGGCCCTAGTAATTCACATTTCTCCCAAATTCAAAAGATACCTCTCTCAAGATTTCAAAAGTTTTATTGCATGAATTATCAATTCAAAATCCAATCAAATGATCAGAAGCAGAGAACTGTTCATCACAAAGAGGATGAAGAAACTCTCGGGTAACAACACCATTCTATATTTTGATTGTGGTAATGATTACACAGCTGTATTTATTTGTTAAAAACTCATAGACCTGGCACTAAAGAAGATAGATTTTACTGTATGAAAATTATACCTTCATTTGAAAAATGAAAAAAGTTAAACTCAAAAATACAATATGCACAAATATACATATTACATTAAATTTGCAGTTTTACATTTAAAAGTTAAACTCAAGAATACAACACACACAAATACATATATTACATTAATAATTCCAAACGAATGCAACTACTGATCAACACATTAAAATATTTTTATACAAATATACATTTTGGCACTAGAAAGCAGCATAATCCTTGCTAATTATATCACTGAAAAGCTGTAACAACACACTATATGTATGTATAATCTATCACTTGCTTACAGGAAAAGAGAAAAATATTATTATTGAACAGAATCTATAATTATATTATTTCATCGAAGGAAGCTTATTCTAAATGATATATTTTTCTTCCCCTTAATATTTATTTTCATTCCTTAGAACAGATAATTCATCAATTCAAGTACTTGGGAAGATGAAAGTATAAGTGCACTACTAACTTTTCTTGTTTCACACACAAAAGAACTGTTGGAATATTTTTTTTTGGAAAATGCATTCCTACAATTACTTTTGAAAATGATTTACTCCAAAAAGCTGAATATAGACTGTGAAAAAACTCTCGTATTCCTTCTTGTTTTTTCCCAGTTTTGAAAAGTGACAGAGTGAGGCAGTAGGATCCTGTTACTATGGCCTGTTTATACAGCTGTACTTCATTGAATGAAGGCTTGTGTTACACACAGTTTGTGATAGGAAGTAAATGCTTTTAAAACAACTGAAGAGACAGATCTTTAACCTCCACCCTTGTGGATTCTTTGTTCCACCATTTAGCTTCTGTGGAGGTTCCAAGAGTAGCTCCAGTATACGCTATTACTCCCTAATTAACCTTCATCTGATTTGTTCATCCCTGGTCAACTCATTTGGTGGTTGGATTAGTATGAATTTTTTGAAACAAATCCTGAAAGGTCCAAAGAAAAGTAGACAATGTGTTGGTCTGTAATGGTTTATAAGCCTTAGGCTATAAAAATATTTAATAATGGTAGCTTCTAAAGAGAAAACGGTGTTTGGATTACCTCAGTGGCTCTATCTGTAGACAGCTTTAAAAATATAGGAGAGTCATCACGTGTGTGACCTCTTCATCAACTTCTACAGAATAGCTGAAGATATAAGGTGCCACAGGGGTCTTTGTATATCTCTCACACACAGTCATATAGGCTAATCAATAAACTAGAAGGTGCTAGATTATTTCAAAGATTACGCCTGTGCTGTTTTGGAGGTCATTATGGTGAAGTAATTCTTGTTTGGATAACAATTTTATAAACTGCTAGCATAGAAGTACAGTGTTATACTTAGTAATGTTGAAAACAGCAACCAATCAGGGTCTAAGCTGCATATCAGTTCGTGGTTTATAACAATACTTGTCCCACTTGAAAATATATGATTTTAACAGGAATGACATCTGATGTCTATTAATAATAGGACTATCTGTTCATGACCCTGCTCATAATCTCATTTTTATTAGAATTAAGTCCTTCTTACATCTATGAGCTACCATTTATTTACCCAAGGCCACTTTGCTTTGGAAATTGTGTTTGATAAACTCCCAACACTAAATGCCCAGAAAGTTTTCGTTTCCTAAAGGCAAGACCAAATATGTTACCCAGATTTTTGTGTATTTTTGTATATCTGTGCATGTGTATCTCCCATTATTTTCATGAAATCCCTTAACAAATTATTCTACCATGAACTATATACTAAGAGGGACCTCCCCCAAATCCACAATTTATTTACAAAAATTGTGTATCTACTCTTACATGTTTAAAATTCAGTCACCTTCAAAGTACTCTCTGTTTGATGCAATATGCCTATTGAGATGCTTTTTACACTGCTCAAAACAGGTTTTGAATGCATCATTTTTTTATGCCTTTTAGTGCTTCTGCCATTTTTTGTTTCACCTCTTCCACATCAGCAAAATGTTTCTATCTGAGGATGTTTTTCAATCTGAAAACTAAAGAATATTACTCAGGGCAAGACTGGGTGAATAGAGAGGGTGGGGCATGGGGTTCATGCCATTTTTGATCAAAAACTGGTGAACGCTCAGCTTGGCTTACACGTTGTTCGTGTAGATCATCCACCAGGGCAAATACATTGAAAGAATCTAAGATAAATAAATAAATAACTAAATTCACTGAAGCCGAATGCAGCGTCTCACAATGCTAGCTGGCACACTGATGCCAATGGGTTCCTAAAACCCTTACTAGTGGCAGAAGCATATACTACAAGGGACCCACACTCCAAAAAAATTCCGTTTTTTGAGGAGTCCCTGCTCATATTTCAGTATGAATATATGGTTACTGCAAAGACCCTTAACCTGTTATTTCCAATTTTAGGTCCACTCTTCAGTTCCCATATATTCACACCTAAAATATTTCAGTTCTAATCTATACTAGCAAGGATATGATGATCATAACACATGGCTACTTCTAGATTTGTTGCAAAAGACTAAATACACGTTAGTTTAGCTAAAAACACATATATGTGTATATATATATATATTCACTGTAGAGAATATAATGTGACATTTTAATCTGTGATTCTGGTAGGAAATGAAGAATATCAACAAAATAAAAAAAAATTTTACTCTTCTGTTTCTACTACTTAGAGGGTCATTGCAATATCATATTTGTTGAAAAAACTAAAACTAGGTTTTGGGGGCCTGTGTGAATTGCAAGACAATATGAGGGCAACCCATACCGTGTTTGATAAAAATGAGCAATATCCAGTTCTTTCTTTATTATAAGCACAAATAGCAACTATGTGGGAAAATTTAGAAATGGTAATGCACTTTGGTAGGGTATGGAAAAAACAATTTGTTACTATTAACTAATACATTTTTGTAAATAAAAAAGAAAAACTTAAATCTTTTTTTTTTTATGGTGAGAAGATATATATTTAGAATTAGCCAGCTGGACTCTGTTTAAATGATCCCAATTTTGTTGGCAACATCCAAAGCATGATAATCAGGAGCCAGTCGAACATATGCCTTCTTCTCTCCATCAGGCCTAATCAGGCTGTTGACCTTTGCAACATCAATGTCATAGAGCTTCTTCACAGCCTGTTTTATCTGGTGTTTGTTGGCTTTAACATCCACGATGAACACGAGTGTGTTGTTGTCTTCTGTTTTCTTCATGGCGGTCTCAGTGGTCAGGGGAAACTTGAAGAAGGCATAATGGCCAAGCTTGTTTCTCCTGGGAGCGCTCTTCCGCGGATATTTGGGCTGCCTCCGGAAAGTGGGTGACGTGCGAATCTTCTTTTTTTGTGTAGCTATGGACGCCTTTCAGCACTGCTTTCTTGACCTTCAATGCCTTTGCTTTGGGTTCGGCTTTAGGAGGGCCAGGAGCAGGACGTGTGCCAGGAGCTTCCTTCTTGGCCTTCGGCGCCATCTTGTGAAAAGGGCAAAGCTTAAATCTCAGAGCTAAGTATTACTATGCTTTGTTTCTTATTCCAAGAAACAGATTTTTGAGACTTCCCAAAGAACCATCAGGAAATAATATTATGTAATATTTTATTTCAAAGTTTATGTACTGATTTCTCTCATCAGATAATTTTTCTTTAATTAGAAATACATCATCCCATACTGAAATATCATCACTACACTGCCTGGTTGCAACATTACTAGTTAGCTTTTATGATCTGTCATATTGTAATATGTTAGCAAAGTGCAAATTTTGGAAGTCATTTCAGTTTGCTGGAGGCATTTAATTGTATAATATACACTATATATATTTATTGGCTATGGTTCCATTATTTATTTATTGATAATTTATATACCTCCTGCTTCCTAAATGATTTCGGGTGGCTTATTTTAATTATCATTGTATTAACTTTTACAGAGATGTTCCAGATTTTTCTTCCTCAACAGAGCAGCATGCATAACTGAAAATGGAAATTGCTTTGTTCTTATCCTTATGGCTCCTTTCAAATTATGTGTTTTGCAGAGGTTAATATTATGTGGGCTGGACACCAAACACACCACAGTTCTGAAGACTATAACTTATCCACAGCGCTGAGACAATCTGTCTTGCAGATATACACTTCCTGGGTAAGTTGTATGAAATGGGATAAATGTGATACTGTAATTTGTTTTTCAAGTCTCAGCTGTTTCTATTTTCTCTGAAAAACTAATAGGAGGTGTTTGGCTAAAATGCTTCTTTCTCCTCTGTAAGACCAGACACTAAAATATTTATTTCGCCTCTGTAAGGCCACTTATGAAGCAAATGTTGTTTTCCAGAAGTCTTTATTTGATCCCAATACTCAACATACACAGAAATACATAGCAATGTGAGAAAGTGGTTGGTTATTTTTTTATTTACTGTCACTTAGCAAGGTGATGTTTGTCTAAGGTACCTCAATTCAAATTTATGTAAACAAAGATTTCATTAGAAACTTAAAAGCCATTAAAAAAATTTCCCAATTAAAATCTACTTGAATTCATTAATTTTTGCCGTATCAGAGCAATTAGTATCATCCTCAACAAAATGTTTGCCTCTTAAATATTCTCAGAAGAGCAGGTGAAAGAATAATGAATATGAGGTCTAATCTCTAATTCTGACTTGCTGGGCAACCCCCGATGCACTTGATGCACTGGGCAACCTTTTTCTGTGAACACCCTTGCTTAGCTCTTTGTGACTATCAAAATACGTGATACTGAAATGCATGTTAAACAGTAAGCTAAGAAAGTCAGAGTTATTAATGTGGAAAATCAATAAATATATTCTAACTATAAATTATCATGATCAAACATTTGCGTGATTCAACATAGTTTGCAAGACACCTTTATTAGACACCATTTAATGAGTATTTTCTATGTACCAGACAATCTTCTAAGACCTCTCTCTTTGTTAACTCACTTCATCGTCACAATAACATCGACACACAGGAACTATTATAACTCTCATTTTAAAACAATAACACTGAGTCTGTAGTTCAGTCACACAACTAATAAAGGGAGGAGTAGAACTTGAATCCATGTGGACTGGTTTCAGGGCTCCTGATCTTCATCTTTGTATTCTAAATCCTCTTTGATGTGCCTCCTTATTGTTTTTTACTTGTGTTTTCTCCTTTGAACCTCATAAATCTGTCTCTAGATCAAGTATTATCATTATCATGGAAATGAAAATCAGAGGGATTAATTGCACAGCTAGTAAGTGACAAAGTCAAATACTTGAGACTAGATGTCTTAGGATCAATAGAACCCAGGTCTAGGCATGATGACTCACACCTATAATATCAGCACGTTGGGAGACCGAGGCAGGACTGCTTGAGCCCAGGAGTTTGAACCAGCCTCAACAACATAGCGAGACTTTGTCTCTACAAAAAAACAAAAAAATTAGCCAGCCATAGTGGCAGAGTTGTGTGCACCTATAGTCCCAGCTATTCAGGAGGCTTAGGCAGAATGATTGCCTCATCTCATTATTTATTTATTTATAATTTATACACCTGTAGTGAACCATGAACATACACTCCAGCACTTCAGTCTGGACAACAGAGTAAAACTCTGACTCAAATAAATAAAATAAAATGCCTTTTCTTGCAAAGCTTTGTCTTTGAGGGAGAGGACAGATTTATTGAGTTGCTATTGACAGAGTAAGATGCATATTCTTAAAGTATAACATTTGATACATTTTGGCATGTGCATATACCTGTGAACCCACGGTCACATTTAAGACCTTGAATGTATTCCTCACCCCTAAAAGTCTCCTTTTCCTCGATTGAACAATTCCACTTCAAGCCTGTCATATTGCCAGAATAATTTGCCTTTACAATCTCATACCATGAAGAAAATGTGGTGAATAAGGAAAGGAGCATCTGGAATGCATGAGAAACAGCCAAGTATTTTTTGAGGGTATCTGAGGGAAATTGCATGGTGGGAAACAAAAGGTAAGGATTATTAAGTAGCCTGGAATCTAGACTAGCATTTCTAAGTCTCATAGACTATAATGAGAGGGTCTGTGGTGGTTAACAGTCTGTAAGTCTTTCCAGACACTCACATCAAAGAGCAGACTTCAGTCTCTTCATTTTTGTTGAGTTGTTTGTGAGATTCTCCTCAACAGCATTGTTAACTAAGGCCTGTAATTTGACTGTTGCCAAATTAGCTATATATTTTAGAACAAATAATAAATGGGTCATGTCTTTGAAAAGAAAATTTATTTGTGAAATGAAAAGTGAAATTAAGTTCAGAATGTGTTTCTTTCCTACTACAAAAATGAGGGTAGCATACCTTTCACTTAAAGAAGTTAAAGATGAGAATTCAACTTTCTATAATTTCTAACTATATTATTACCCATCCGAAAGGAGCTGCAATTGATAGAGTACCATTTTAAATAAGACTTATTTACTATATACTGCAATTGTGATTTTACATGCCACTTTAATCTTTGATTACACATCTTAATATAATGCCTTATGAATGATAGTCTCAGTCAGGTGCAGTGGTTCTTGCATGTAAGCCCAACACTATGGGAGGGTCAGGACGAAAAATTACTTGAGGCCAGAAATTTGAGAACAGCCTGGGCAACAGAAGGACACTCTGTTTCTAAAAAAATAAAATAAAAGTTAGCTAGGTGTGGTGACTCACACCTGTAGTCCAAGCTACTTGGGAGACTGAGGTGGGAGAACCTCTTGAGCCCAGGAGTTCGAGTTTACAGTGAGCCAAGATTGTGCCATTGCACTCTAGCTTGTGCATCAAAGCAAGACCCTGGCTCAGATGAAAGAAAGGAAGGAAGGAAGGAAGGGAGGGATGGAGAGAGGAAGGAAGAAAGACAAGAAAGAAGAAAAAATAAAAGAATGATAATAGTGTTAAGTTTAACATTTCATTAATTTTATATTTAAAATACCTGAGTTCTACAATTCCTTTTTTTTTTTAAGAGTAGGAATCTCACTCTGTCACCTAGGCTATAGGGCAGTGGCATGCTCACAACCACCCCAACCTCAACCTGCTGGGCTCAGGCGATCCTTCCACCTCAGCCTTCCAAGTAGCTGGAACTTCAGGCATGCATCACCACACCTGGCTTCATCCCCCAAACCACAACCCTACTATAACCACAGGATAATATACATGACAAACCCAAATTGGGGGACATTTTACAAAATACATAACCAGTACTCCTCAAAGCTGTAAATGTCATAAAACACAAAGATCATCTGAGAAATTGTTGCAGGTCAGAGAAGGCTAAAAGATGAGTATGAAAGATGTAAAGTGTATGCTTTAGGATCCTGAATGGTATTCTTAAACAAACAGAGGATATTGGAAAGGAAAACAAGGCAAAACAAATAAAAAAGCAATAAATAAATAAATAAATAAAACCAGTGAAATCAAATAAATTGTGGTGCTTAGTGAATATTGATGTACCAATGTGGGTTTCTTAGTTGCGACAAATGCAACATAGTGATGTGTTAATAACAGGTAAAACTTGGTGAAGGGTATATGACAACCTTGTGTTATCATTGCAATGCTTCTCAAAATATCAAACTATTACAAAATAAATACAGTAGCTTATTAAAAACACCTACATGTATATATGTACATTTGCATACTCAGAGCCACTGTAGATTATACATCTACTCTAGAAAAAAAACAATGAACCATCAACAATAGACATTATCATAAAGAACAATCTATCAGCCAGTGCTGTTTTTATTTGGCCATTGTTCTTAAGGAACTCTTTATTTTTCCATTCTGAATCCTTAAACATTACTTACTGTTGTTTTCCAAGAGCACTACTATGAGTAACCTTAAGCCCTCTATAGTTTTGAGAAAGGAATGTAATAGACTTCTTATCATATGCAGAGAGAGTCAAAAGTTCTGTCTTCCGTTTCATCTTCCACACACCCTACTGCAATCCCATCTCCAGTTTACCCATTAACATTCACGTCTCTCAATCCAGCATGCCATAATGGCTTGACACTTCTTTGTATATGTCATTACCTCTGTCTGAAAAATTATTTTTCCTTTTCCTCTGATCATTATATCCCTCAAGATTTATGTACTTTATTCCTCTCCTTTCTCTCAGATGCCTTTCTAACTTTGTCCAGGTCTTTTGTTGTTTGTTGTTTTGGGTGTTTTTGGTAGGGTCCCACAAAACCCTTGCATTTATCTATTGCAGTACTATAACACTTTTTTATTAGTTTAATTTATGCCAGCCTATAAACCTTGACAGAAATGAGTATTTTTTACCGCTGTATATCTAGTATATATGAAATGCCTACTGCAGAGTCAGGGTTTAACAAATACATGTCACATAAATGAGTGAAATAAAAGCCTTATAGTTCAAATAAATGTGACAATGAACATACTCTATAGAATTAACTAGAGTAAGACCAACGAAAAACAGGTAAAGGCATAGCATGACATAATTTAAATTTGTCATTCATTTAAAGTCTATTTTTATTTAATAGACTTTCCAAAAACTAGAGTGTAGGATATATAATTTACTTACCTTTTGCAATAAAAATATTTTTAACTTATTTGTTTCACATATGAAGCTGATGTTGAATAGAAAATAATAAAATATCTACCTTCAAAGACCTGAGTATTTCTCTCAAAAGCATAGTAAATTAATGATAATGCACTTAGTTTTAATAACTAGGATGAGTATTTAGAAAAAAATTTGTCATGTCTCTCAACCTTTAAAATTGTTTTATTCTCTAGGTTGGTATTGAAATTAGTTTTGTAAGAATTAGTAAAATATATTAATAACATATTCACAATCTTAAAAAAGGTAAATTATACCCAGCATCAGAGGAAAGAAATATAGTTTTAGCATCAAATTATAAAATCCTCTATTAAAACCATTATTGCTGAAGCAAAATTAGAGAATATGTAATAGATGATACTAATTGCTTTTAAGCATGATAGTTTTTAAAACATACATATTATATTTAGAAAACAGCAAAGAGCAACTGCCTCAAAATAAAGAAATCTGGGTCCCACCCTAATTTAGTTATTAACCACCTTTGCCAGTCTGAGCCAATCAATTAATGTTTAAGTCTCTGTGATTTTTGTACATGAAACAGACTCAATATTTGCTCTGCCTTCTCACA